CGACTCGACGACACATAACAACAACGACGACTGACTGGACTTACCATGATGGCTCCCCCAGGCCTGTGATGTATAGGGTATCAGGAGGGCCTAATTCTCAGCAGCTGAGAATTCTCTCCAAGGCCTGGCCTGGTCCTAATGCTGTCATCCTATGTAAAGTCAGCCAGAGAGGAAAGCAAGGGAGAAGGTACATCCCTCTAGGACCTCCCCATATATCTGTGTAGGCTGTGCACTGCACAAGGACATTCCATTTAAGAGAATGCCATCCACAGCCGACTTCTTAGATTGCATGTTTACAATAAGAATTGCCCAGCAGATGGCAGTCAAGTATCTCATTCCAACACAACTTAGGTGGTGTGCCTGTTTGCCGACAGGTGATGGTAGAGGATTTTCAGGAACTGGGTACCCTTTTCTAATTAGCACAAAGGCCCTGAGTGTGTTAGCAGGGGGCTGAACCAGCTCAGAGTCAGGGACAGATCTCAGAGGACTGACTTCCAGAAATCTCATTTGATTCTGTTGCAACGATGGTAATGGAGGTCAACTGGGGTGTCCTAGCCCCCATCCTGGTCAGAAGCTCCCCCTAGTCTCCTTTTCTTACCCAAATAATTTCATTTCTTCTGGACTCCAAGAAGCCCTGGCAGCACCAGAAGATTGGTGATTTGAACCTGCCACCTGCTCTGTTGAAGAAAGAGGGAGCAGTTTACTTCTATAAGGATTTACAGCTTTGGAAACCCCATTGGCCAGCCCTGTTCCTTTCTGTGGGGTGGTGCAGGAAGAGAGAATAGCTAATGATAAGATCTTTCCTCAGGGATCATATGATGTCTGACTTCATGTCTTTTGTGGGATATTAAGATTGATCACGGTGTTTGAGAGTCTTGCTGATTAAAGTGAATGTACGTGGAAACCCCTGTGCTTATTGTCTATCAAGTAGTAAGTGCTCTGTGATTGAAAGCTTTCATAATAACCTTGGGACCCTTGGAGCTGGCACCAGAGGATGGGGGAAAGATGAGCGGTGGGAAATCGGTCCAATCGATGAACTGGGCAATAGATTTCTTCATTCACTGTGTGGGGTAGGGGCTCTTATGCTAGACCCTGAGCCTCCTGCTGAAAAACTATGTGTCCCCAAATTTAATTTTGAGACCTCATTTCCACCTTAGGAAAATCCTTTGTCATGAACTATCACCCATCATGGATTTAAAAAAAACCCAAAACAAACAGATATATCTTGGAGAAGATGCAGCCAAAATGTTCCTTGGAGAAAAAGATGATGAAGCTTCATTTCACATACTTTGGACATGTTGTTAGGAGAGATTATTCCTTGGAGAGATGCAACATGCTTGCAAGGGTGGAGGGACGACAAAGGAGAGGAAGTTCCTCAACCAGATAGACTGACTCAGTGACTGCAGCAATGGACTTGATTATGTCAGAGATTACGAGGAGGGCACAGGAAGGGAGAAGATTCAGATCTGTTGTTCACAGAGTCACTATGAGTTGTATTTGGCTCGACAGCACCTAACAACTATAATCACCGCTTGTATAATGGATTGAATTATGTTCTCAAAAAATATTTGTTGCAAATTCCAACCTGTATGCATATGATTATAATTCCATCTGAGAGTGGGTTATCTTACCATGTTAATGAGGCAAGATTAGTGGAGAATGTATCTTAAGCCAATCTCCATATAAAAGAGATTAAACATATGAGCCAAGCAGAGATAGGAGGAGACAGATGCCAAGCCACATGAAGATTACAGGAGTACAAGCTCAAAGAGAGACAAGAACTGCCACAATAAGATAAAGGTAAATAATCCAATAGAAAAATGGGCACAGGATATGAACAGACACTTCACCAAAGAAGACATTCAGATGGCAAACACATGAAGAAATGTTCAAAATCCCTAGTTCTAAGAGAGATGTAAATCAAAACAATTATGAGGTATCATCTCACCCCAGACAGCAAAATTTAACAGAACAGCAAGTAACAATTGCTGGCAATGTTGTGGAGAAACTGGAACTCTTATTCACTGTTGGTGGGAATGTAAAATGGTGCAACCACTATGGAAGGCAGTATGGTGCTTTCTCAAAAAGTAGAAAATAGAAATACCATTTCACCTAGCAATTCCAATATTGGGAATATAGAAACCATAAGTGCCACCCAAGCAGATATATGCATACCCATCTTTATTGCAGCTTTGTCACCAATAGCAAAGAGTTGGAAACAGTCCAAATGCCCATCAACAAATGAATGGATAGAGAAGCTGTGGTATATTTACACAATTAAATACTTTGCAGCATTGAAAAACAAAGAACTCTAATGAATTATTATACAAAATGGGTGACCATGGAGGACATTATGCTGAATGAAATATCTCAGTCACAAAAAGACAAATACTGTATAACGGCACTGTTAGAACAGGACTGATATGGGGGTTGGTGGGAAACTAAGAAAAGAGAGGATAAGTAATGTACACAACATTGAAACAGATGAAGGAGAGAACTGTATAAAAGGAACATATGAACAGGTATAACTGGCATGGCAAGAGTCCAGATTAAGAGTTGCATAGTAAAGTGATCCGGGGAAGGGGAACTATATAACAATGAAAGAACTTTTTTCCAAAGAAAAAAGTGAACTAGGGGGAAGGGAGGACAGGGAAGAAAATGTATAACAATGAATGGAAATTAAAAAAAGAATATGTTCGAACTTATTAATACCAAATAAAGCATACATTTTCTCAAAAAATGCAAAAAAAATTAAAATGTTAAAAGACTAAAAAAAAAAAAAAAAAGACAATGACTGTCCCCTCAAGCCAACAGAGATAGAAAGTCTTTTCCTACAGTCAACACCTTGAATTCAGACTAACCTCCTAAACTAAGAGAAAACAAGTTTCTATGTGGTAAAGAAACCTATCGGTGGAATTTCTATTTCAATAGATATTCAATATTTCAACTAGATAACTTGTTGTGTGCCGTTGAATCAGAACTGACACATAGCTGATCCTTCAGTGGGTTTTCAGAGGAAGTAAAATGCACCGGAGTAGATTGTCCATCCTTCTCCTGCAGAGCAGCTGGTAGATTTGAACTGCAGCCTTTGGGATTACAGTCCAGCTTCTTATCACTCGGCCACCAGGGCTCCCTCTTAGATAATCACCAGTGCTTAATTTGCTGACAAGAGCGAGATCCCGCTCTAAGAGATACCTAGACAGCCGCAGTGGTTTGGCAAAGAGTAGAGACTAGAAGAGCTCTAAGCTGCTGTGAAAGCCTAGATTTCCTTGAAGAGACTGTTGGTAGAGCTATGAATGTCAGGCAGTCTTGAGGGGGACTCAGAAGGAAGTGAGGAGAGCTACAGAGAAAATCTCTGTTGTCTTAGAGATTCACCTACCAATCGCATGAGCAACACAGTGGTACCAGAAATGTGAACATTAAATTCAGGTAAATGTATTAATGGAAAATGATCAACGTGTGCCTGAACAATGGAGGCAAAGTGATACTTTGTATGCAGTGACAAGGAACTTAGCTGAATTATATTCAAGTATTTGATGGAAGGTAGAATTTATGTGATGAACTAGGATAACTGGCTGATGAGATTTCGAAGCAAGATCTTAAAGGGCCACATGATTTCTCCTTGACCCTCATGGTAAAATGTAAGAAGAAAGAGAAATTTTTTTTTTTTAAATGACCTACACAAGATGAAAACAGAACTTAAAGATTTGGAAGCTTCTGTTGCACAAACTTAAGGTCGTAAGTCCTCCAATGTTCACCAAGGGCATGGATACACAGGCTTTTATTAAAGACATTAAGCCTGTTATTGGGTTTATACAACCAACTTCAATAGCAGAAAGCCCATCGGCTTAGACTGAAGGGGAAAGAGAAAGAATAAAAGGAAAGAACAATGTCTGCCTCTTGGAATTCTACAGGAGGAAACAGGCCAGAAGATATATCCGCTGTTCTCCATGAAAAGGACCATCGGTGGGGTACCTCCAAAGTCAGCAGAACTGTTGGGGCGCAAGGAGTAGGGCCTTTTCAGTTTCAAAGGGTGGGACTGCAGTCTCCTGGGTTTCAAAGAGTAGGATCATCGCCAACTCTCTTCAGCAGTATGAGGGTGCTGTCAAGGTGTGTCAGAGAGATGGGGCCACCACCCCAAACTGAGGAGGCGGGGCTGCCATGCCCAAGGGGCAGAAGAAGGGGACATACTAGGGCTTTGAGGGTGGTGTCACCACTCAAACAGGTAGGAAAATAGGCTGCCCAAAGCCAAGGGAGCAGAGTTGCTTTTCCAGTGGGCCTGAAAGGTGGAGCTCAAGTCTAGAAAGGTGGAGCTCAAGTCTAAGGCTGAGGAGTCTCCACCCAGAATCCAGAGAGCAAGTCTGGAGGGTGGGGCCATTGCCCAGAGAGTTTCGGGGGAGAGAAAGGATTCTTTTCAAGCCTTGAGAACTAATGTCATTTGTTCTATTGGGTGTTGGTTTGCTTGGTGTCTGTTGTGCCTCCTTCCCCTCCCATCTCTCTCATTTGTAATAGCAATGTATACCTTGCACCTATTGTACCTTTGTACTTTGGAAGGAGACAACTTATACTGTACATTTCACAAATTCGTTCATTAACTGAAATTTTGCCCCAGGGTGAAATATGCCCAAAGTCTCATCATATCTGGTTTACATGCTTTAGAAGATGAGATTTTGGGTTTGGAGTTGATTTCAGATTCTACCAATGGCATAACAGGGTGAATGTGTTTTGCATGTGGTAAGGCCATGGATATTAGGAGTGCCAAAGGGTGGACTGTGCTATTTCTGTCATAGTTGCAGTCGGAAGCTAACACATTCAGCTTGCCCTGGGCCCACTTGTCTGCTTCTAAAATTTCAGAGACTTTAAGCTCTGTTTGCTTACAGCAAGGCCCAGGGGCAGCCACATTGGCTTGGTTCAAGGGGATGAAGGGACAGGGAATAGGTTCTGTCCTTGAGCCCCTTTTCTCATCTTACCTCCTTCCCCCATCAAGTCTCCCCTGTCCCCATTCCACAGTGCGTGGAAGGCTGATAGGCCTGACCTGGTCTCCTGTGCCCACACAGGTGCGGGAGCTGAGCGATGCCGAGTTCCCCCATGCCTTCCTGGTGTCTGGGAAGCAGCGTACCCTGGAACTGCAAGCCCGGTAGGCCAGCTGGGGGCCGGGCGAGCAGAGGGAGGAGATGGGGAGGCTGCCGTTCCACTCAACACCTGTGTTCGATTTCTGAGCAGGTCCCAGGAGGAAATGGTTTCCTGGATGCAGGTATCAGAAGGCCACAGGGCCCCTTTATAGCTGTGGCTAAGAGATACTGGCCTAGCCCACCTAGGCTGAGGGAGAGAGAGAGAGAGAGAGAGAGAGAGAGAGAGAGAGAGAGAGAGAGAGAGAGAGAGAGAGAGAGAAGAGAGAAGAGAGCTCATGCTTTGTGATAATGTCCCTTTGGAGTCAGACTTAGGTTCACATTTTCTGCCCTCTCACTATCTACCTGGGTGGGTTGGGGCAAGTCATATAACTTCTCCAAGCCTCAGTCTTCACATCTGTAATCAGAGGCTAATATAGTTTTTCTGCCCCCCTCACCCCCTTAAGTCAGCCGCTGTGGGCATAGAGTCCAGTGCCTGGCACCCAGGAGGCTGTTAGCAGTGTTTGTCGGCTACATGGATGGAGGACAGCTGAGCAGTCTGTCCACAGCTCTCCCTTCTCTTCTGCCAGGCCTGCCAAGCAGCCATTGACCAAATTGAGAAGCGTAATGAGACCTTCAAGGCTGCGGTGCAGGGCCCTGAGGGAGACACGCAGGAGCAGGAGGTAATGAAGCCTTTTGCAGCCCTTACTGGAGCAGCTAGGCCCAAACAGGGCTTGTCCTTTCTCTCCGCTACCCAGACCAGCTTGGAAAGAGAGGGAGTGTCCCCTACTTGGTGTGATTTGAAGGGACCAGGGAAAACCCTCCCAGCCAACATCACTGTGCTGAGTCGACTGTGGCAGAGAGCTCCCTAACAGCAAAAAAAAATCCTCTGGGAGCCTCTGTATGTCATTATCCCTGGAAAGGAAGGCTTCATGTCCATGTCTCTTTGGCTGCAGGTGGCAGGTCAGATTGGAATCTGAATGTATCTCAGAAACAGGAGACTCAGAGAAGGACGTGGGTTCAGGATTATGAATAATGTGTGACTTGATTTCAGATTTGAGCTCTGAACTTATTGGGTGGCCTCCCGAGCCAATTTGAACTCTGCGTCTCAGTTTCCTCATCTGTAACACACATCATAGTAACTGACCCCCGACATGGTTATTATCAGTTCAGTCTGCCCCACGTTGAAGCCGTTGGGAAGCATCACACACAATTCCTGTCATGAGTGGGTAGCAGAGGAAGCCGGGACCTTGGCGGGTGGGTGAATGAGAGTCATGACGCGTCTGCTTGACGCCCAGCTTTCCCTCTGCCCGTCAGCTGCAGTCAGAGGAGCTGGGCCTCCGGGCCCCTCAGTGGGTGCGGGACAAGATGGTGACCATGTGCATGCGCTGCCAGGAGCCCTTCAACGCCCTGACGCGCCGTCGCCACCACTGCAGGGCCTGTGGTTATGTGAGTGCTCCCGCCTGCACCCCAACCTCCTCTTGCCCAGCCTTGCAGTGCACCTCTTCCCCAGCTCTGGCCCTGCTCCCACTCCCTGCCTACTCTGCCAGCTTCGCTCCACACAGCGGGTCATGTCAGTGCCAACCCTCTCCCTCAAAGACTCACTCATGACCTCTGACCTGGAAGCGACTCATAACTGACCCACCATCAGGCTGCAAATCACATGGGAGGAGATTGCCAATCCATGGGGGATTGCTGATCGTTCTCCTGTGGAGACGCTGGTGGATCTGAGCTGGTAGGGGCATGGCCTCTGGGTGAGCAGCATAGCTCCCTCCAGGCTCTGTCACCAGAACCCCCTACGAGTTAACCCTTTGTCAGGTGTGGATCTGGTACCTTCTCTGGACCTGGGGGTGCTCAGCTCTGAAGCAGGAGCTACTACTATACCCACCACATAGATGGGGAATGGACATCAGGGAGGGACCCCTAAACCTGTCTCTGCTAATTCACTGGCTGTTTTACCGTCATTCACCAAAGCCCCCAGGCCCAAGGTGGGAAACAGCTTCCACTTCAGGGACGCAGCTTCCAATCTCTTCCATCTTTTCAGCCCCCCCGCCTCCTCATGCTGACTATACACCCACCTCCCTGTCCCCTCCTCTTCTGACATGTGCTCAGCACTGTGAGCCTTGGTAGTTCTGTCGTTAGTTCTGCTGTGCACAGCCAGGCCTCAGTTTCTTTGTGGATGAAATGGAGATTATGATACTTACCTCCAGGTAAAAAGTGAGGTGTCACTTCCTCCAGGGTGGAAGTGAGGTGTCAGCAAAAGAAAGTCCATTCCCATCCCTCTCCTCCTTTTCTTTTCCTTCTTGGGGCACATTCAGGGGATTGAGAGCACCCTCCAGGTTGCTGAGGAAGAAACCAAGAGGGCCTTCGTTCTCCTCAGCTCAGGCCAGCCACAGGGTAGATCTGCTTTGCCCTTTGAGCGCCTGTTATCTTAAGGCCATTCTCTGTTGACATACAACCCCCTCAGTTTATTCTGCAAACAGAGAAGCCCTTTTCCACCTCTTCTGTAGTGACCCCTCAGGGGACAGGAGAGGTCCTGCTGGAATAGGTTGGGGCTTGTCAGGAGGTGTCCCCAAAATGTGTGAAGTCAGGACCCAAAGCCAGTCCTCAGACTGAGAACTTACCTTCAGTGGATGAGGAGCTCTGAAGCGAGTACAAAGGCTCTGAGGATTAGCTACTATTCCTGGTGATTTACGCCTGCAAATAAGAGTGAGTTCATTCACACAGGCTGACTTGTAAAGTAACTCCCAAAAGAATTACTAAATATTCTTAAGAAATACAAAGAGCAACAAGAATAATACAGTTAGCACCCTGGGCCTGGCTACCTGCCAGCTTAATAAAATATCTTGATAACTAAATGTAACTTTGCCAGAGCTCTCTGGTAAAAAAATTCAACTGTTAGCGGAAAGGTTGGTGGTTCAAAGCTCCCCATCCACTCCATGAGACAAAGACCTGCCCATCTGCCAAGTCACATGACAGACTTATAGCCAAAAAGCCATAGGGAGCAGTTCCACTCTGTCATGGGGGGTTCCTATGAGTTAGAATACCTGGTGGCATCAAACAGCAAAATGGAACATATGACCCTTAATCGGATATTGGATAGAAAAAGAAAGCTACAAGGGTTGTTCCTGAGTGAGCCCTGGAGAAAGTTGCCTGTGAGCCACATAGAGATAACATACCACAGACCGCCAAAGAACAAACAAATCTGCCTTAGAGAGCGCAAGCAGAGGGCTCTTCTGAGGCAAGTATGTGGAAACTTCATCTCATAGACACCATGCTGGGAAAGGTGGTGGGTGAGAGAGAGAGAGAGAAGAAGACCCTCAACACCACGGACTGACAGTGACTGTAACAATGGGCTTGAATATGAAGGAAATCAGGGAGGTGGCACAGAACAGGGCAAGGTTCAGATCTGTCGTTGAGAGGATTGCTATGAGTCACAGTTGACTCAATAGTGCCTGACAGCATCACCAATGATACTGGATGAAAGTTACATTACCTCAGAGTGATAATGACATATGGACAGGTAGGAGAATGGCTCTGTTAGGAGATGCCAGCTGCATAGTTCAGGGACAACGTCACAATGACAGGGAGCTCTGGTGGCTCAGTGGTTAAAGTGAGCTACTGCAACCCAACAGGGTGCTGGTTCGAACTTACCAGCCGCTCTTGTGGAAGAAAGATGGGAATGTCTACTCCCATAAACATTATAAGCTTGGGAACTCCGTGGGACTGTCCTAACTTGTCATGTAAAAATGCTTTCCTGGCTACTGGTACCAAGAGTGTTGACCATGGAGCCAAGCAGATTAAAGTTGTTAACAATCTAAAAAAAAATGCTATGAGCTAGAATCAACTCAGTGGTATACGTTTTGAATTTTTGGGTCATGATGATAACTTACTTTCAATTAGTTCAGGGTGGGGGGGGCGGGAGGGGAGAGTACAAGTGTAGAGAGTTAAAGCCAAGGCAGCCCAAACATTAAACATTGAAAAATTTAGGTTGGAAAATGTCATTGTATTCTTTCACCTTGTCTTTAGGTGAGGCATTTCTTCCAAACTAGATAGTTGATGGAGGAGAAGATAAATCTATTTCTGTTAAAGAATGGAATGACATGTTTATATATACAGTTGTTGTTGTTGGTAGCCTTCTAGTAGAGCACAACTCACAGCGATCTTATGAACACAAGTCCTGAAGCCCCTCTACAACCATCAACATTTATCAAAGTTCATAGAGTTTCCGGAGGCATGTTGTTTAGGAAGTAGATGCCACTCCTGCTTCCAAAGATATATATTTGTACATAATAATAGAACTTGTCAATGAACAAAGAATCCAAGATTCCCAGGGTCGTCCGAGGCTGTCTGAGCTAACCGTGCCCTGATTTTGGGGTTTCGCGTGCCCGTGCACTGCTTTGTAATTTGTGAGTCATTCTTTCGGTGGTTCAGGTGCCCAGTTTTTATCTCTCCTGCCAGACCGGTATCCTGTGAGGGTGAGGCGGGCCCGCCTCGCCTGTGGGTCCCTCCCCAGGCCACACGCTGGGCGCGACTCAGCTTTCCTGGAGCTGGCTCTGGCGAGGACTACCCCCCACCCTGCACCTCCCTCCCTTCCTAAAACCATGTCCTGGACTCACTGCCACACCTGCTGTCCCTCTAAGTCACTCCCCATATTTCTGTCCAAGTCTTCTCCCGTCGTAGTCACCATGTTTCCTCACTGTCAACAATAGTGTCCTTCTTGGGGGGCTTCTCCAGGTCAGGCTCCGGAGGGTCTCCATCCACGGAGTGGACTGGCATGTCTTTCTGACCCAAACCACTAGCTCCTCTTTCCCCCTCCCGCCCCCAGTATCCAAAACACTTTACAGACCTAGAAGAATAGAGAAAGAATCTTCTCAAAAACTGCCTCTAGTCCCTAATTTTTAAAAAGAATTTATTTTGTTGTTCAGAATATATGCAGCAGAACATCCACTCTCTCTGCAATTTCCTTCGTGTGAACGGTGACGTTGATTATATTCCTCAAGTTGTGAAACCAATTTACTTGCTCAAATTGTTCCTCCCTCCACGATGGCCCTGAGTTCCCTATCTAATCTTTCAAGTTACTGTTGTCTGTTTGATTACATACAACTAATTCTTTAAAAAGCCCAGTGCCAGAGACAGATATTCTTTATTAGTTGAGCTGAACTCTTGTTTGCTTTTTTAAAAACTGGGGGATGCCTGTGCCAGCTGGTCATCTGTAACAGAACATTCCTGACCAGTGATTGAATGGGACACATGAATCTTAATGCTGAACTGTAGGACTTTAAAGAAAAGGGCTCTTTGTGGAGGACTGGTTGTTTCCAATTAGCTGTGTGGACCTTGGTGAGACACTGTCCCCTCTGGGCTGTCAGATCCTTGATGTCACGTGAGGACAGACTCCTTAAATGAGGTTGTTGGGAGTAGTTGAGAAGGCAGAGAGGAGAACCCTCAGAGAAGTGAATCCAATGTGAGTGGAATATTGGGGCTAATGCTTCTCTGATCTTTGAGGCCTGAGTTAGTGGGGTTATAGGTCCTTTTGAGTTGCAATTGACTGACAGACAACAGTAGGTGTTGGCTTAATGGGGCTTGGTATGTGACCTGGAAGCATCCTCAAAACAGAATTATGGTTGCATCTCTATCTTACAGAAGAAGAATCTGAAGGGGAGTGATGGTAGGCTTCTTACAATGGGGAGGAGGGTCTCAAATTCTGTACTGGGGGAAACCTGAAGCTGAGCTCTCCTCCTGGACCACCTCGGGGCACCCCCACCTTTCAGCCTCCTAGCCTTTCCTGCAGTTTTCTTTTCCTTCCTTCTGATCCTGGGAGCTCTCACCTCACCCCTGGCCAGGTACAAGCACAGCCCCTCCCCAGGCCTCGCTCAGGCCCCACTTCCTTCCCCGGCTGTCCTCGGCAGGTGGTTTGTGCCAGGTGCTCTGACTACCGGGCTGAGCTGAAATATGACGACAACAGACCCAATCGTGTCTGCTGTGACTGCTATGTGTTCCTGACCGGAAGTGTGCTCCCCAAGGACAAGGAGGACAGGAAGCGGGGCATCCTGGAGGTGAGGGCAACCCTACCCCATCCCATCCATCCATTCAGCGAATGCACACTGAGCCCCCATCAAGTACTGGTGCTGTTCCAGGTGCTGAGACTCAAGTACCCCTCGTGCTCCCTCCTTTCCTCTTCTGTCCATAGATGCCCCCCAAGACTGTGCCCTCATTCAAAGTGTGCTAGGTCTCTCACCAAATGGATATGACCTTTGGCACCAGGGCTGCTCTCCAGCCTCTTCAGCCTCTTTACTGTGTCCCCATCTAATAATAGCTGGACCTCTGGATAATTCCCTCTCATGTCCCCAGGCCCTGCCCCAACAGTCCCAGGAGGCGGAAAGAGGTGATATCACTGATCCCATTTTACAGAGGAGGAAACTGAGGCTCCAGGGCAGGGTCCTGCTTCCAGAGAGAGGCAGATTAGAGACTCTGTTCTAATGCAAGAGACTTCAGAGGTCCTACCTCTCCTCTCCCACGGAGTAAGACCCAGGACCTGAGGTCACCTAGTGAATAAGGAGCCAGGTCCCTGATCATGGTCACTGAGGCTCTTTCCACTTCCCTGGGGGCCTCTCTGAGCACCCCACCTCCACAGGCGCTCCCCAGGCTGCTCCGTCGCTCCCGCTGGGGCACCTGCTGTGTTCAGCTTTGCTCCACAAATTCGGTGCCAACCAGCCCAGACATCGGTTACCACCACCCCACAGGCCGGGTCAGCATCCCACTATCCCTGGGAGGTGAGAGAAGCACCAGCTTATTCCAGTTGAGCTCAGCAGCCAGGTTCAAGCCAGCTCCTTTCTGTGGGCTTTTCTGTCCCATCCAACCCTCCAGGCCGTCCCTGAATGTAGGGTGACACGGCTGTCCCCTGGATAAAGTGCACAAGTCAGCCCCTTCTCCAGCCCGTTCTTTGTCTGAGGCAACTCACAGAGATATGCCCTCTCAGCATCCACCCCTGGACACATGCACACACGGGGTCAAGCTGGCTGGGGTGTAGCTGGCTGGGATGTAGCCACTGCTCTGACACTTGCCAGCTGTGACTCCAGGCACATGATGGGACCTCTATTAGCCTCAGGGGTAAATAACCCTTCCTTTGTAGGACAGAGCTTAGAAATAGCAGTTGTCCAGCCCCCAGATCAAGATCCAACACAGAGAATGTGGTGTGGCCACTGACAGTCCCTCTTCTCTCCGGTTTCAGAAAGAATCTGTGCTGGGCTCCGAGCACAGCGTGATATGCAGCTTCCTGCAGCTCCTTGGGGACAGATGGGGCAGGAGCAGCCCCCGGGGCTGGTGCGTGATCCCCTGGGATGACCCCCTTGTTCTCTACATCTACGCTGCCCCTCAGGTAATGCTGCCCCTGCCCAGCGAGGACTTGCCTTTCGTGTGTGTGTGTGTGTGTGTGTGTGTGTGTGTGTGTGTATTATTGTTGGTCCCATATATCAGATGCAAAGACTGAGGCACAGTGAGGACAAGGCAGGCTCCAGCCACAGAGTTCATGGATCTCAGAACCAGGCCTTGCTCTGGGTCATGGATCCTCTGTCATTGATGGGAAGCCTGTTTTTCTCTCTTCTTCCTGTCTTCTCACCAGCCCACCCACCCCTTTCATGGGCTGTGAGAAGTAGGGGTGTAGCTGCAATCTTCAAAATGACTGAGGTGGTGGTGGGTAGAGGTGGGAACTGAGATGGTCTAAAACCACTTCTCTCCCTGTCCCTCCCAGGACATCCGGGCACACACCTCCATCCCCCTGCTGGGCTACCAAGTGGTCTCTGGGCCCCAGGCAGACCCCAGAATCTTCCAGCTGCAACAGTCAGGCCAGCTGTACGCGTTCAAGGCTGAGACCAAGGAGCTGAGGGACCGCTGGGTGAAGGCCATGGAGCGCGCGGCCAGTGGCCAGAGCCCCGGGGAACCTGACGATGACCTGTCTGACTGAGACACTGCTGGCCTCATGCCCGCCCACCTCCACCTAACTGTCCCCCACTCTGAGCCCGGCCCCTGCTCTTGCTGACCCTCCCGTGTCTGTCACCCACCACCCCAAGCTTGTGCTTTCCAAAGTTCAGACCATGTGACTTGGTTTGGGATCCAACGAGTTAGCAAGTGTCCTGGGGCTGAGGGTTGCTGAGACTCAAGACTTTCTAGCATTAAAACTGGAGAAGCCACAGTAGCGCAGGATATCTGGTCGTCCAAGCAAGTCTCAGCCTGCGCTGTTTCTTAGAATCATGGGGGGAGGCCTGGATTCCCACTGCAGATGTATGACTTAATTGGTTATTGGTGTGGGGAGGGGAGGGCCTGGGTGTCGTTAGGGGTTCCTATGTGACTCTCACATGCAGCCTTAGTCCACGGGGGAAAGAAGAGACAACATAAACTACCAGTGTCTGAGCTCCAGTCACACTAGGCACAACAGTCATGAACTCAAACTCATTGCCGTGGAGTCAGAGCTGACTCATAGCTCGCCTTCCAGCGGGTTTTCAGAGGCAGTAAATCACATGGGAGGAGATAGCCCATCTTTCTCCCTGTAGCCACTGGCAGACTTGAACTGCCTTAGAGGGACCTCTTCTGGCTTAGCCACCACACCTCCCTAGATGACAGGGATAGTGTTAACTAATAAACATCTCCTGGGCCCGGTATTGTGCTGGTTATTCTTTGGCAATTATCTCATTTCATCCTCAAGAGTTATAATCTACATTTTCCACATAAGGAAGCCTAGGCTTAAAGAGCTTTAGTAACTGGTTTGAGAGCAAACAACTAGAAGGTTCCAGAGCGAGGTTTTATCTCAATGGGTTAAGGCCAAAGCTCTTCTTCTTATGGAACACAGTAATATGGCCAGCAGAGAGGGCGGGCAAGGGAGAAGAACAGCAGAGGAAACAGTGAAGGAAGCAAAGTGGAGACAGAAAAGGGGAGAAACAGGGGCATCTTTGGCCCTCCCGAGGGTGAATGAAGCTGCTTTACCACGAGAGACCGCCAGGGGGTAGCAATGTGTAACAAACTGTACAGCGGCCCCAGGCTGGGTCCCAGCACCCACAGCCATTCCCAGCAGCGCCCCAGCCACTGCAAGCTCTACCCACAAGAAGGGAAAAACCTACACTTTTGCCTCATTCCAGACTCAGCAGTTTGCCAGCTCCCACCTAACGCCACCTCCCAACAGTGGAGTATTTTGAGACGCCCAAGAAAACCACATTGGCACAAGCTGCCTGGTTAGCTGTGAGTTCATTTGTTCATTCCACAAATATTTATTGAGCACCTACTATGGGCCAAATACACTTTCTGTACCTGAGACATTGCAATGAATAAGATAGACTAAATATCTGCCTTGACAAAATAAATTAGCAAAGTCTATTACATACTGCTTAAAATGGGTGGCCCACGCCTTGGTCTTGCCTAGTTTTAAAAAAGCAAGTCTGCTGACCCTGAAAAACCCCCCTCAGTTCCAAGTAAATGGAAGTTGTTGATCTGTGTGCTAGACGAGAAAAATGAGGAAATGGGAAAGAAGAAGAGTGGAGAAGGGAAAGCTTTTACAGGGAAAATGAAAGAAAATCTCACTGACCAGCCAGTGTTTCAAGAAAACCTCCAAGAAGTAATCAAACCCATGTCAATTCTCCTGTTGGGAGTCAATTTTGAGGTGGTAAATCTCACGGGAGGGGACATTCTCTCTCAGAGCTGCTGGTGGGTTCGAGCTGCCAAGCCACCGGCCTTTGCGTTACAACTTGCCGTGGACTCTGTCACCGGAGCTCCCTCCTGTCAGAGAAGTAAGGAAGGCTCTCAACAAAACATGAGAGGCTTGAGGGCCAGTGAGACTAAAATGGTGGGAGTGAAACAGAATGGAAAGGATGAGAATACTGTCATTCGCAGAAAAATGTAACCAGTGTCACCAAGCCTTGTGTGCAGAGATTGGTGAATTCCATTTTCACCAAAAATATAGGCACTTGCTTGGTCGCTAACTGAAAGGCTAGTGATTTGCATCCGTTCAGATATGTCTCAGAAGAAAGACCTGGCAATCTACTTCCCCTGAAAATCAGCCATCAAAGGCCCCGTGGGGCAGTGGCTCTGTTCTACTACAAAAGAGTCACCAAGAGTCAGAGTCCACTTGAAGGTTATTGAATTCCTCCTGTAGATGCGATTCCTGAGGGTGTGAGGCTCGAGAGACAAACCTTGTGACACTCTATGACCTGCAGTTACAGTTCTAAGAATTTACCCCAAGGTGACTACAAGATCAGGGTGACAGCAAAGTCACTCCTCTATTGCTTGCAATATCTCCCCAATTGGAAACTCCTTATGTATCGTTTGAAAGAATATTCCTTAGGTAAACAAAACTTATCAAGAGGAAGCTTATTGGGTAAACTCTGATGTGTCCATGCAACGGAGAATCAAGCAGCTATTATCCATTCTACAGCTGTAGGGCCTCATGGGAAAGGAGTTACACAGCCAACCCTAAGCCAGGCAATTCAAATCCACTAGCTGCTCTGAGAGAGAAATAGGGCATTCTCCTCCTGTGTGACTTACAGCCTCTGAAAACCTGCTGTTGTTGTGTACCGTCGAGTCTGAATCGACCCACAGCTGACCCTTCAGAGGCAGTAAATTTCATGGGAGGAAATTGGCCATCTTCCTCCTGGGGAGCCGCTAGTAGATCCAAACCATGTACCTTTGTGTTGGCAGAGCAATTCCTTAACATTAAGCTACCAGTATTCCCTGAATACCCTCTTGTTAAGTGCCTTGAAGAATCAAGTATGACTTATAGTGACATTATGAATAACATATCTGAACTGTCCTATTCTGTGCCATCCTTATCATCCTCGACACATTTGAGTCTATTGCTGCGGACGCTACATCAGTCCATCTTGTTGAGGGTCTTCCTCTCCCTCACTGACCCTCTGTCTTTCCAAGCACGATATCCTTTCCAAGAAATAGCCTCTTCTAACAACATGTCCAAAGACATGTGAGATGAAGCTTCACTATCTTGGCCCTTCAAGGAATGCTTTGGTTCCTTTTTCTCCAAGATATATGTTTGTTCTTTTGGCAGTCCATTGGGAGCTCTGATGGCCAAACGTCAAGGAATTGCTCTGCTAACCCAAAGGTGGTTGGTGTTGTTACGTGCCATCGAGTTGCCTGCGACTCATAGTGACCCTGTCTACAACATCCCTAAACCCTGCTCTATCCTGTACCAATCTCACTGTCTCCAACACCCTCACCCCGATTACCCTAGTCACTGAATCAATCCACCTCATAGAGGGCCTTCCCCTCCTGTGCCGTTCCTCTACCCTCCCAAGAGTGATGTCCCTCTCCAAAGACTAATCCCTCCTTGCAACATGTCCAGAGTATGTTAGACGAAGCCTCAGAATCCTTGCCCCCAAGGAGCAGCCCAGTTTAACCTTCTCCAAGATGAACGTGTTTGTTTTCTTAGCAGTCCATCGTACCCTCAATACTCTTCTCCAGCACTACAGCTCAAAGGCATTAATTCTCCTTCTATCCTCCCTAGTCATTGTCCAACTCTCTGACACATAACAAGTAATTACAAAGACCATGGCCTGTATCAGGCACACCTTAGTCTCCAGAGTGATACTATTGCTCTTCAGTACCCTGGAGAGGTCCCTAACAGCAAACTTTCCCATCACAATATGTCTTTTAATTTCCCGGCTGCTGGTGCCAAGAGTGTTGACTGTGGAGCCAAGCAAGCAAAAGCTGTGAACAATCTCAATCTCTTCACCATCCATATTGATGCTGCAAATCCACCAGCCATTCTGCAGGAGAAAGATGGACAATCTCCTCTCACATAAAAACCCACTAGAGGATCAAAACAACTATGAGATATCATCTCACCCCAGTAAGAAAAGCAAAATTTAACAGAACAACAAGCACCAAATGCTGGCGAGGTTGTGGAGAAACTGGAACACTTATTCACTGTTAGTGGAAGTGTAAAATGGTGCAACCACTGTGGAATGCAGTGTGGCGCTTTCTTATAAAGTTGCAAATAGAGATATCATTTGACCCAGCAATTCCACTACTGGGAATATACCCCAAAGAGTCCATAACTGACATTCAAGCAGATACATGCACGCCCGTGTTTATCGTGGCTTTGCTTACAATAGCAAGGAGCTGGAAACAATCTAAGTGCCCATTAACAAATGGATGGATAGAGAAGCTGTGGTAAGTATATTCACACAATAGAACACTATGCTGCATTGAAAAACAAGGAACTAAAAAAACACAAACAAACAAGGAACTCATACAATATTATTCAAAATGGGTGACCCTGGAGGACATTATGCTGACTGAAGTATCTCAGTCACAAAAGGACAAATACTGCATGATGCCACTGTTGTAAAACAGGACTGACATCAGGGTTGGGGGGAAACTGAGAAAGATGGGTTAAATAATGTATACTGCATTGAAACAAATGAGGGAGAAAACTGTTTAAAAGAGATATGTGATTAGGTATGTCATGACAAGAGTCCAGAGAGAAGTCTGAATAGTGGAGTGGACCTGAGGAGAGGGATTGTAAAACAATGAAAGAATTTTTCTTTTATTTTCACAGAGAAGAGTGTATTGGGGGGCAGGGGGGGCAGGGAGAAAAGTACAACAATGAATGGATGGAAATCCAAAGTCTCTGTAAATTTTCATTAACATTAATATTTTTTTAAAAAATGGGGGGAAGAACTAAAAAATCCACTAGATGGTCATGTTGTGAGTTGGTTTCCACTTGACAGCATGTAACAACAACATTCTCAAAGAAAGCTTATCAAAGAAAAAGAAAACTCAGTACAAACCAAACTTATCGATTCCCACTAATATTGTGCCATAGATTTGCCCTGTAGCGTTTCCAAGACTATAAATCTTTATAGATGCAGATTGCAGGTTTTTTCCTCTCAAGGAACTGCTATTTGGGTTTAAAACACCCATCTTTTTATTCGCAGTGAAGTGCTTATCCACTCACTGTTCCACCAAGGAAGCTTAGATGAAGATATATGGAACACTAAAAGGTGTGTGTGTGTGTGTGTCACCACCAAGGAAGCTTAGATGAAGATATATTGAACACTAAAAGATGTGTGTGTGTGT